CTCCTGGGTTCAAGCGATTCTCCTGCCTCAGCCTCCCGAGTAGCTGGGATTACAGGCATGCACCACCATGGCCGGCTAATTTTTGTATTTTTAGTAGAGACGGAGTTTCACCACGTTGGCCAGCCTGGTCTCGAACTCGTGACCTCAGGTGATCCACCCACCTCGGCCTCCCAAAGTGCTGAGATAACAGGTGTGAGCCACTGCACCCGGCCTAGTTTTTTAAATAGAAAAGAAAATGTCTGTCCTTTAGAGCTACTTTTAAGAACCTCCTATACCTGTTCAAGGAAGTAAAAGCATTTGAGCAAGTGAGTTTGAAAAATCAGTGTCAGAAGCCAAGAAGCCCCAGGCAAGGCACCTGCAGCCACATCTCCCTTGATTAATGATTAGTTGCTCTTCATTCGCTTTGGGGCCTCTAGCAAGAAGGGAGAGGTGGAGGCCTCGTGCGGCTCTTGTCGGAGGTAACCGGCAGTGTACCAAGTGGTAGGTACGTGGGTCTGGCTTTAGAGTAAGGCTTGTGTTGAGATGTGTCTGGCTGATAAAACTTGGTGAAATTCGCACTGCAATTCCTTCTTGGCTGAGGAGCCAGGCATGCTTACCAACCTCCCTTAGGACCCTAGTGCCCAGTTTTATGTTTTTGTGCACCTAAAAAAGGCAGGATAGACCTTCTACCTGCATTACGTGTGTGTTCATGTCGGAACTGGCAAAAACGGTCTTTTTGTTCCACTCTGCCCTTGGCTGCCCAAAAAGGCTCAAGTATCTGGGACAGAGCGCACAGGGGATATCCAGCGTGTGCTCAAGAATCACTGGGCCGGCCGGGCGCAGTGGCTCATGCCTGTAACCTCAGCACTTTGGGAGGCCAAGGCAGGCAGATCATGTGAGGCCAGGAGTTTGAGACCAGCCTGGACAACATGGTAAAACCCTGTCTCGACTGAAAATACAAAAATTAGCCGGACATGGTGGTGCGCTCCTGAATCCCTGCTACTTGAGAGGCCGAGGCAGGAGAATTGCTTGAACCCGTGAGGTGGAGGTTGCAGTGAACTGGGATCACGCCACTGCACTCCAGCCGGGCGACAGAGCTAGACTCTAAGAATAAATAATAAAAATTAAAATTTAAAAAATCACCGGGCCTGAGAAAGGGAACCAGAGACAGCAGTGGGGTAGAGAGTCAGAGTGGCTGTGTCCCCATCCCTTAGCCCAGCCTCTCAGGAGGGGCGGGGGACCAGTTGCCAGCAGAGCACATCCAAGGGTTTTTTTTTTTTTTTGGGACAGAGTCTTGTTCTGAAGGCTGGAGTGTAGTGGCGTGATCTTGGCTCACTGCAGCCTCCATCTCCTGGGTTGCAAGTGAGTCTCCTGCCTCAGCCTCCCGAGTAGCTGGGATTACAGGCATCCACCACCACACCCAGCTAACTTTTGTGCTTTTAGTAGAGACAGGGTTTCACCATGTTGGCCAGGCTAGTCTCGAACTCCTGACCTCAGGTGATCTGCCCACCTCGGCCTCCCAAAGTGCTGGGATTACAGGCGAGAGCCACTGCACCTGGCTCCTAGGAGTCTTCACGGTGACAGCAGCTCTCCCCCTCAATCATGGGAGATGCTTCCAGGCCCCAGCTGTACTGTGAGAGCTTAGGCCTGGTTTCTCTCCTGTCCATGGGAGGCCAACAAGCCCTCGCCCTTCAGCGAGTGGGGCTCTTCCCTGAAGGCTTGGTGCCCTGCTTCAGCTGCTTTCTTCCCCTTTTCAGAGGGGTTTGGATTTTTCCCTGTCTCGAGCAGTGGTCCCCAAACTCTAGAGGTGATTTCCGATGGCTTCCGGGCATGCCATGCGGTAACTGAACTGCACCCTGAGAAAGTCATTTCCTTTCCAACTTTTTAAAAACAGGTCTAATTATTACGTCAGAGAGAGTCTATTTGGGGCTAATGGCTGTTGTCACTCCCTTTATAATGGAGAAGTAGCCTTCAGGTCTTGGTGATGAAGTTGTGGCCACAATAGCTAGATACTGAACTTGATACTCTTTTCATTGTATTAATTTCATTGTGACCGGTTGATAGAGGTGATGCTGGTTTAAATATATAGGGGTGGTATGTTTTATTTGCAATTATATGCATGTATGGTTAAAACTTAATTAAAAAGAAAAGATCAAGTCATCGGCATTAAAGGTGGTAAGAGGTTTAGCACATGGCTGTGGTGGTATGAGAATGAAGCGGGGGAAATATCTAGGACCCGAGGGATAAAGGTTCACTTTGCCTGGTGCTGTCCTAGACATTGGAGATTTTTTTTTTTTTTGAGATCGAATTTTGCTCTGTCACCCAGGCTGAAGTACAGCGACACAATCTTGGCTCACTGTAACCTCTGCCTCCCAGCTTCAAGCGATCCTCCTGCCTCAGCCTCCCGAGTAGCTGGGATTACAGGCGCGCCCCACCACACCTGGCTGATTTTTGTATTTTTAGTAGAGGCAGCGTTTCACCATGTTGATCAGGCTGGCCTTGAACTCCTGACCTCCGGTGATCTACCTGTGTTGGCCTCCCAAAGTGCTGGGATTACAGGGGTAAGCCACTGCACCCAGCCTGGGCAGGATTGTTTAGGGCACGTTGACCAGATTCTCTCCCACAGATAGGATGTAGGGTATAAAGGAGACAAAAATGTTAAGAATGATCACGAGGTTTGTGATCTGGATTGTTGGCAACTTCATTTTAGCTGCTTGGCTGGAGAGAGGGGCCAGTTTGGGGGTGAAGAGGTTCATTCAGTCAGGGCTTGGGGTACAGCACGTTTGGTGTGAGCTGCCTATAGTCATCCATGTGGGAACGGGAGGCCAGTCTGAGGTTCTAGGAAGAAGCTAGGACTTCCCAAAGATGAACTGAGGAGTCATTAGATATAGATGGAATTCTAAAGCGCCAAGACTAGCTGAGACCTCTCACCTAGAACGGGACAGAGATGAAAAGAGAACTGAGGCCGGGTGCGGTGGCTCATGCCTGTAATCCCAGCACTTTGGGAGGCCGAGGCAGGTGGATCACGAGGTCAGGAGTTCAAGACCAGCCTGAGCAACATGGTGAAACCCATCTCTACTAAAAATACAAAAAGTAGCCAAAAATAGCTTGAACCAGGAGGCGGAGGTTGCAGTGAGCTGAGATAGTGCTACTGCACTCCAGCCTGGGCAACAGCGCAAGACTGCATCTCAAAAGAGAACTAAGTTGATACCCTAGGGTGCTCTGGTGGTGAGCAGGTTTTGAGATGAGGGATCAGCAGAGGAGAGGAAGAGGGACAACCCCACAGATTGGGGGGACAAGCAGGCGAGGATGGTGTGTAGGAAGTCCAGGGAAGCAAGTGAATCAGGCCAGAGGCATGATGGGCTGCGTCACGTGCTGCTGCCCTGTCAGAGGACATCTGGCCATTGGTGTTGCTCATGTGAGGCTTCTGGGAGAGTGATGGGTGGGGGCGAGGGGAACCAGCAGCTCTTCATAGTCTTTTTTTTTTTTTTTTTTTTGAGACCGAGTCTCATTCTGTCACCCAGGCTGGACTGCAACCTCTGTCTCCCGGTTTTAAGCCATTCTTGTGCCTCAGTCTCCTGAGTAGCTGGGACTACAGGCATGTACTGTCACACCTAATTTTTATATTTTTTGGTAGAGACGGGGTTTCGGCATTCACATAGTTTTATAGTAAGGGTAGCAAGGTAGATGTGGGGCTAAGAGGTTATTCCATTTGCTGATGGAGCAAATGAAAGAGAAAACCTTGCAAAGTAGGGATTTTTGGAGCCATGTGCTTGAGTGAACAAGAGGGCTGGGTCCAATGGAGGTGTTGGCCTTGCTTGGTGCCAGAGGGTTCAGCACAGAAATGAAAAGAAAGTAGAAGTGTGCAGAGGTGCAGGGAGGTAGGGCGATGAGGCAGTGGGAGCTTGTGCACGTTTCATGATCATTTCTGCTTTTGATTTAATTAGGAAGTAAGGTCCCCAGCTGAGAGTGACCGTGGGGAGGAGTGATAATAAGTTCAAAGAAAAAGTGAAAAGAGCAGAGAGTGAGAAGATAAGAGAGGCGTGTGGAAGACCCCTGAGCAAGGCCTGCTCTATGGGAAAAGGTGGAGAATGGGTTTTGGGTTTTTTGAGACAGGGTCTCACTCTCTCATCCAGGGTAAGTGCAGTGGCTAGATCATGGCTTACTGCAGCCTTGACCTCTGGGGCTCCACTGATCCTCCCACCTGTGCCTCCTGAGTAGCTGGGATTTTAGGTGTGCGCCATCACGCCTGGCTGATTTTTGTTTGCTTTTTGTGGAGATAGGGTCTTGCTGCTCTTGAACTCCTGAGCTCAAAGCAATCCACCTGCCTTGGCCTCCCAAAGTACTGGGTTATAGGTGTGAGCCCTGTGCCCGGCCAAGTCTTGAGTTTCATTTGGGTTGTGCTTTCACCAAGTGATTGCAGCAATGCAAGAGGGGGAACCGGCTATTGAGGTTCCGCGATGGGGGTTACTAGACGGTTGGTTTGGAACTGGGTCAGAGGCTGATGGCATTGAGGGAATGAAGACCCTGTTGGGGACAGAGCCAAAGAAAGGTGGCGCCAGGCAGACAATGAGATTCCTGAGGGTCAAACTGTGAGGGCTCCTAGGAGCACTGGTTAGGCTGGTAGAAGCAGCAAGATCACCCGGAAAGTAAGGAACTGAGAGGCTGTGTTGCCCACATGGATGTTGAAATCATGGACAACTGTGAGGAGTGGCGTGGGAGACAGGAAGCCTGGAGCTAAAACCTCCAGGGAGCCAATTGAGATGGACGGACAGGGTGGTGGAAGCAGCCGTTGGGAACAGTGGGGACACCCCAAGGTACCAAGGCGTGGGAGAGAAAACAGCCCCCTCTCCAGTAATAGCAGGAATTCTCAGCGGGGGGGCAGCTGTACCCTCCCATCTCTAGAGACTTCTGGCAACACCTAGAGACATTTTTGGTTGTCCCATTGCAGGGTGGTGGAGTGGGGAGCTACTGCAGCTGGTGGGTAGAGGCCAGGAATGTAAACACCTGCTACTTTTCAGGGATCTTTTTCCCACTGACGGGAATGCTGGACAGCCCCCATACCCGAGAATAATGCAGCCCAGATGGCAGCAGTGCCGAGGGGGAGAGAGGAGGAGCAGAGCATGTCAGCAAGGAGGTGAAGTGCCAGGGGGCAGTGTTGCTTCAGTGGATGCCATGAAAACTCAGTGATGCAATGAAGGAGAGGCTGGAGGAGACAGTGGGGATAGCCCCTTCCTCCTCCTCACCTGGAGGAAGGGATAGGAGATGGTCGATCATTAAAGAAACTAGAAGGTAAGCTGTTACCAGGCAGGGCCCCGGTCTGATCTGGGCCTGCCTCAGTGCCTGGCCCACATTAAGCTTAGTGATTAAGGAGGAGCAGGAATAAACCACAGAAGGAAGTGGTGGCTGTGGGCACAGGGGGTGTTTGCAGGCCAAAGGGAGCCTGAGCCCCCAGCACTTCTCTCTGGCCTGAGAGTCAGGGTCTTCCTGGGCCACAGGCTCCTCACCTGAGCTTGCTCTTGAGCGCGTTCACCTCGCGGCCCATGGCCTCGTTGCTCTCCGTGGCCTCATCCAGCTCCCGCTGCAGCTTCCTGCGGTTGGCGTTGATGCGCTGGGACTCCTCCTCGGCCTCCTCCAGCTGCCTCTTGAGCTGCTTGACCCTGGCATTGCCTTTCTCTGCCTGTCGAGGAGAGTTGGAGGAGTGGGTAGGGGAGGCCGGCTGGAGGGCTAGGGGCTCGAGGGAGGCTGGGCTGCGGGGGCTACCTGCTCCTTGTACTGCTCGGCCATCTTGCGCTCGTCCTCCACCTGCAGCAAGACTTCCTTCAGCTTCTTGTCTTTCTGCTTCAGCGACTTGGCGGCCGCCTGTTTCTCTCTGCAAACAGCAAGGAAAACAGGTGGTTTCAGAGGAGCGGGGCACCTCTTGCAGCTGGTGTGTCACCCAGAGGTGGCATCTTGAGTGCTCTCCTGAGCCCTACATCTGGACTCCTCTCAAGGATCCGTCAGATAGTAGAATAGTATTCAGCCCTGAAAAGGAATAAGTATGAATGCACGCCACAGCATGCATGAGCCTGGAATCCTTGCCCAGTGAAAGAAGACACATAGTTTGTGATTCTATTGATAACAATGTCCAGAATAGATAAATCCATCGAGACAGAAGGTAGATTTTGGTTGCCAGGGAGTGAAAGGAGTGGCTAAAGGGCATGGGGTTTCTATTTTTTTTGCAGGGAGGAAACAAGGTCTTCCTGTCACCCAGGCTGGAGTGTAGTGGTGCTCCAGTGCCTGCTCTCCACCCTACTTCATAGTTCACTGCAGCCTTGAACTCCTGGCTCAAGCAATCCTCACCTCACCTACAGGCGTATACCACCATACTCAGACTTTCTAAAAGTTTTTTATAGAAATGGAGTCTCTGGCCAGGCATGGTGGCTCACGCCTGTAATCCTAGTATTTTGGGAGGCTGAGGTAGGCAGATCACATATGGTCAGGAGTTCGAGACCAGCCTGAGCCAACATGGCAAAACCCCATCTTTACTAAAAAGTACAATTATTAGCTAGGTATGGAGGTATGCATCTGCAGTCCCAACTACTTGGGAGGCTAAGGCAGAATTGCTTGAACCCAGGAGGCAAAGGTTGCAGTGAGCTGAGATTGCACCACTACACACCAGCCTGGGAAACAGAGTGAGACTGTGTCTCAAAAAAAAAAAAAAAAAAAAAAAAAAAAAACAAAAAACTCGCTATGCTGCCCAGACTGGTCTCAAACTCCTGGACTCAAGTGCTGCTCCCACCTACCTCAGCCTCCCGAAGTGCCGGGATCATGGGCATGAGTGACCCCATCCGGCCTGGGGTTTCCTTTTGAGCTGATGCAAATGTTCTCAAATTGACTGTGGTGATCGTTTTACATGTTTGTGAATATACGAATAGCCCTTGAATTGCAAACTTTAAATGGGTGCATTGCAGGGCATGTGAATTACTGAAAACACTGCTAGAACAGAATGGGTGAGAATCCTTAGAGTCCAATGGTAAGAAATATGGGCCGGGCGCGGTGGTTCAAGCCTGTAATCCCAGCACTTTGGGAGGCCGAGACCGGCGGATCACGAGGTCAGGAGATCGAGACCATCCTGGCTAACCTGGTGAAACCCCGTCTCTACTAAAAAAAAATACAAAAAACTAGCCGGGCATGGTGGCGGGCGCCTGTAGTCCCAGCTACTCAGGAGGCTGAGGCAGGAGAATGGTGTAAACCCGGGAGGCGGAGCTTGCAGTGAACTGAGATCTGGCCACTGCACTCCAGCCTGGGCGACAGAGCGAGACTCCGTCTCAAAAAAAAAAAAAAAGAAATGTGTTGTGATCTTATGCCTCATTCGACCCATAATTAAGCCTTCCAGTGTGTGTACCGAATGAGTTGCTGGTTGGACTTTTGTTTTTTGGGGGGTTTTTTGGTGTGTGTGGCAGGGTCCCACTCTGTCACCCAGGCTGTAGTGCAGTGGTACGATCTCGGCTCACTGCAACCTCCCCGTCTCATGTTCAAGCGATTCTCCTGCTTCAGCCTCCTGAGTAGCTGGGATGATAGGCATGTGCCACCACACCTGGCTAATTTTTGGTACAGACAAGGTTTCACCATGTTGGCCAGGCTGGTCTCAAACTCGTGACCTCAGGTGATCCACCCAAATTGCTGGGATTACAGGCCTGAGCCACCATGTCCACCCTGATTGGATTTTTGGTCTGTTAGCATGCTATCCCCACTGAGGCTGAGAAAAGCCACATGTTCTGGGAAGGCTGGTTAATGTCAGGAGGACCATGGCGATGCTGCGAGCAGCTCACATTTTAGGTGCTTGCTCTAGGCCAGGCACCAGCAGGGCACTTTGCTGTGTTTACATTCAGTTCTCACAACACACCTGCACTGTGGGCACCACAGAGCTTGCTTCTTACAAGCCAGAACTGATGTTGGGAAGAGGTTCCCTGATTTCACTATGACCCCTGCTGTCCATCACCCCAGGACAAACTGGGTTCAGAACTCCAGAGCCGCATACCTGGCCTCCTGCTCGACCTGCTCCTCCAGCTGTGCAATCTTGGCCTCCAGCGCTGCGATAGTGGACTTGAACTTGGACTTGACGGCCCCCTCCATCTCCTGGAGCTTGCTCCTAAGCTCCTTGTTCTGCCGCTCGAGCTGCTGCCGGGCACTCTCATTCTTCTGGGCCGTGCTGCGCTCTGTGGCCAGCTCGTTGCTGAGCTGCTCGGCCTGGGGAGGAGAGTGAAGGCTGCGAGGTGAACTCAGGGAAGCCCAGGACAGTGCACTGAGACCATGCACCTCCTCCTGCTGCCTCCAGCCTTGTTGGGCCTCTGCACGAGTCCCTTGATCCCGGGCGCCCTGTCCTTCTCTCCTTCATCCTGTAAAACTCCACTCAAGAGTTTCTTCCAGGTTGGGCACTGTGGCAAAAGCCTGTAATCCCAGCACTTTTGGAAGCTGAGGCAGGCAGATCACTTGAGGTTAGGAATTCAAGATCTGCCTGGCCAACATGGTGAAACCCCTTCTCTATTAAAAATATAAAAATTATCTGGGCAGTGGTGGCACATGCCTGTAGTCCCAACTACTTGGGAGGCTGAAGCAGGAGAATCCCTTGAACTTGGGAGGCAGAGGTTGCAGTGAGCCAAGAGTGTACCAGTGCACTCCAGCCTGGGCAGCACAGTGAGACCCTGTCTCCAAAAAAAGAGGTGCTTCCACAAGTGTCACAGTGCCACCCAGGCTGAACGAGTGACTTGTCCCTTGCTTTCTCTGTCCTGGAGTCGCCTGGAGAACAATGCCTGTTCACCCTACACCACAAGGGGCTCAGGTCACAGGATGGTCCCTAGTGCCCACCATGGAACTGGTGCTCAGTGACATCACCAAGGGCTCACTGGATAAGGCCAGAGCTTCAGCTGGGGGAAAACACAATGAAAGAGCATCCCAAGGCCCTGACTCCAGGGACAGCCATGAGGTTCAGGGAGCCAGACATGCCGTGGCTGGAAAATGAGATACTGCAGCATAGAGATGGGTGTTCTGAAGACAGCAGCCTGGGCACTGGTGTAAGGGCCCTGGATCTCTACTCTCAGGCCCTGCCACCCTCTTGTCCCTCAATCCAGGGCCTGCACGCAGGAAGCCACCATGCGTGTGTTGACCGGTGCAGGATCCTGCTGCAGGAGAGACAGTAGGCAGTGAGACTGTGGTGCCCAGGCGGCCCTCACCTGCTGTGTGGCTTTGCGGACCCGGTCGCTCATGGCCTCCATGTTGCCCTGCTCCTCCTCCAGCTCCTCCTCCAGCTGGGCAATCCGGGCCTCCAGGCGGCGCTTCTCGTCCTGGAGTGCGTTCCTGGGGGAAGGGCAGCCATGTTGGGGGCCTCTACCCTCCCCCGACTTAGAAGATGCCCCCTCCTTGGAGTGATGCCTCAGGGGGATTGCCTTCATCATCTAGTGAGGGAAACTGAGTCTTGGAGAGGACTAGAAGACTCATCTGTAGTTACACAGCCAGGAAGTGGGTGGCCGGGACTTGGACCGGGTCTGTGTCAGCAAAGCTGGAACTGGGATGGGGACCAGCACACTCCTTCCTGACTCTTCTTTGCACCCCCCCTTCTCCCCATACAGCTACTTATTGGGAATGAATGAAAGCAGCCCCACCCCCAAACAGAGGCATGAAAGTGCTGAGGGAAAACCTAACCACCATGGGTCTGTCCCCAATCTCAGAGGATGCTTTGTCAGCAATAGCATTGAAATGGGGGTCCAGGGCCAGGCACGGTGGCTCACACCTGTAATTACAGCACTGTAGGAGGCCAAGTTAGGAGGATCACCTGAGGTCGGAGTTCAAGACTAGCTGGGCCAAGGTGGTGAAACCCTGCCTCTACTACAATTATAAAAATTAGCTGGGCACAGTGGCACATGCCTGTAATCCCAGCTACCTGGGAGGCTGAGGCAGGAGAATCACTTGAACCTGGGAGGTGGAGGTTGCAGTGAACCGAGATCTCACTACTGCCCTCCACCCTGGATGACAGAATGAAACTGCCTCAAAAAAATTTAATAAAATGGGGGTCAAGGATGCTGCCTCTGCCCACATCCTCTGCTTCAGAGCCGACTTCCTCCATTCAGTTTCCTACCTTCCCGACAGGCTACTGGCCAGCTCCTCTGCCAGTTCCTCCTTCTCAAGGTCCGCCTGTTTGCGAGCCCTCTCAGCTGCGGCGAGGTCCTAGGTGGGTGGGAGGAAGCCTGCTGTCTGCCAGGGAAAGGCCAAGCCCCACCGAGAGTCCACCCTGCCTCCTCAGCCACCCTTGAAAGTACATGTTCTTCCTCTGAGCTCAGGGGAGGCCCCATGAATCCATAGAGGAGGGAAGCATGTGTCTTTCTAGACAGGTGGAGCCCATAGGAGGAGGAAATAAATTCTGGGAATGCACAGACTGGAGCTGCCAAGGGTTGCTACCATAACACCCGCATCTGAGGCTCTCCTAGCAAGACGAGGCTTTACCTCTTGTAGCTGCATGAGGTCTGCTTCCAAGCTCTTGGCTTTCTTCTCATTCTCCTTGGCTGTGGCAAAGATCTCATCTCTGGAGGCACGGGCATCTTCCAGCTCTCTTTGAAAGTCCTTCATCTGAGCCTGCATGAGTCAACAGGAAGGACAAGCTCAGATGTCCTTACTGCCCCAAGTTCTGCTGTCCAGTTTAGCTTTGCACACCTACCCCTCTGCAGTGAACCACAAAGAAGTTCCCATTGCATGAGCATGGCCCTCAGTCCCAGGTGGCTGGTGGCGGACTGGGAGCACCATTCTGGATGGGCTCCACAGACCTGCCTGAGAAGCCCAGCCTCTGATGTGATCTGAGGGCAGTGGCCAGATACCTAATAATGCTGC